GGGGGAGGAGCGCCAGGGGTACTTACCTGGCTATGGTGGCAGCCATCTTCATCACCTTGGTGGGCGCTGCAGCAAGGAGTCCCCAGTCGGGGAGATACTCTTCTCTCTCCTCTCAAGTTCATTCATTTCCTTCTGCAATTGGATGGCATTGTACTTCTCAGTGGATGTGTATCTCGAAATTGGCCAGGGTCATAACAAAATAAAAAAATGAAAATGTTTGTTCAGGATGCAAGGGCTGGTTGTGTCCGAAGAAGCAACATCTCATGTGGGAACAAAGTGTCCGAGTGTCTTGAAAGGAGGTCTGCAGCGGTCTTGATCAGGTTTTGGAGTAGGTGGTGGAAGCGGTCTTCAGTGGCTGCAACAGGTAGAAGTCCAAGAAGTGTAGCAGTAGTCCACATGTACAAAGTCTAAGTGCTAGGGTGCGTCCGGTACATGAACTGCAATGAGGTCTGATCTGGAAGCAGGTAAGTCGCAGACTGATGCAAGTATCCATGTCGCAAGTTGCTGCTCCAGTAAGTCTGCGAGTCAGGATGCTGGTCGATGAAACAGCATGGTGGCCAAACCAGCTGCATAATCTCCATGAACAGTAAGGCAGCAGGCCATCGTCCTCGTGCACTTGCCATTAGATCCTTTATCGCCGGCGTCACGCAGGTCCACAAGCATTGGACAAGAGAGACAAGGTATTGGCGAGGACAGATGGGACCAGGCTAGGCGAGGGTAGGGCCAGATCAGACATCAGGAATCAGGGTCAAGGGGAGGGTGGCTGGGTTCAAGGGTTTGTGTAGCGCAGGGTTGCGAGGGTTTAGCGGGGGTTTATGCCATAGTTATATACTAGGACATAGGATTAGCACGATCATAGGCGCGGACAAATTTCATGGCGTTCTTAAGATTAGAGAGAGGTTCCCATGTAGTCGGGGTATCCGGTCCATTCGATTGTGTATTCAGTGATTGGTTCCAGATGATTAGATACCTGAGTGGTTCGTCGGCCGATGATGGTTTCGACAACGAATTCAGGGCCTGTGGGTAGCATGATTGGTGGAGGTCTAGGATATGGGCGGTCGGCGAACTGGGGCGGGGATTCATGGTATTCTTTTAGGTACTCAACATGGAAAAGTGGGTGGACACGACTCATGTCAGGGGGAAGTTGGAGTTCGTAGTTGACGGGGGAGGTTTGTTCAATGATGGGGAAGGGACCGATCCATTTGTTGGAGAGTTTCTTGGACAAGCCGTGTTCGGGTTCAAAGCGTTTGGCGGAGAGCCAGACTTTGTCCCCTACTTTGAATGACACGTCGCGTCTATGTTTGTTAGACTTGTTGGCTTGTTGTTCTTGGGTTCGTTCAATGGCTTCCGAGACTTCTCTCAAGAGTCTATTCATTGTTGCTACCCATTCATTGAGAGAGGGGCAGGGGCTGGATGGGTTAAGCTGTGAAGGAAGCAAGAAGTCAAAGGGTAAGCGAGGGTGGTAGCCAAGGTTGAGGTAGAATGGAGACATGCAGGTGGAAGGGCAAACGGCGTTGTTGTAGGCAATCTCGGCGGCTGTGAGCAAATGATCCCAATCGTGTTGGTGAGGATGACAATACTTCCGCAGGATTCTTTGGAGAGTATCGTTCATCTTCTTTGTTTGTCCGTCGGTCTGTGGATGGAATGCAGTGCTCTACTTGAGAGTGGTTCCGTAGGCCATGAAGAGGTGTTTCCAGAATTGTGAGAGAAAGCGAGGATCACTGTCACTGATGATGTTCTCGAGGAGGCCGTGATGGCAAGCAACGTGGTCGAAGAAGAGTGTGGCAACGTCTTTGGCACTGTGTGAGGTCGTGCAAGGGATCAAGTGGGCACGTTTGGTCAAGCGGCAGATAATGACGTAGATGCAATCATGCACGCGGTTGGTCTTGGGGAGACCATACACGAAGTCCATGGAGATGGACTGCCACCGGTGAGTTGGGATGGGCAATGATTGGAGTTTGCCGGGTTTGGCCCGGTTCGAGGGGTTGACAGCTTGACACGTTGGGCATGAGCGAATGTATGCTTTGACATCGGCGATCAGGGAAGGCCAGTAGAAGTAGCGGGAGATGGTGTCGAAGGTTTTTTGGAAACCGAGGTGTCCTGCGGTCTTGGCATCGTGGTGCTCGGCCAAGAGTTGAGTACGGAGACCACGTGGGTCGGGGATGCAAAGTCGGCGAGTGCCTTTGGTATCGATGTAGAGAAGGTTGTCGTGAAGGGAGTAGTCGGGGACTGGGTCAAGATCGCGGAGCTTGTTGTAGATGGTGGCGAAGTCTWGGCAAGASAGGTAGCCTTGGGTGTATTGGTGATGGAGTGATGGGAGGAGTTGGATATGAGTCATGGCGGCGTAGACTTTCTCGGGGGGCTTGTGGTCGGGTTGTCGAGAGAGGGCATCCGCAACACGGTTGTTTTTGTCGGGGGTATGGCAAATGGTGAATGTGAACTGGGCAAGGAAGTCTAGCCAGTGGGCTTGGCGTGGAGTGATATCTTTATTGGAGAGGATGGAGGAGACGATGGTGTTGTTAGTGCGGATGGTGAAGTATTGCCCGTCGAGGTACGGGCGCCAGACTGTGAGGGCGTGAATCACGACGAGGAGTTCCTTCTCGTTGGAGGGGTAATTCATCTCCGCGGGAAGGCGATGGGGTATTCGCCAGGTGGAGCCTTGGTGTGAGTGGGCGAGTCCTTGATGGAGGGGGTCTCGACGGTGTTGCGGGGGAAATGTTGGAACAGTACGGCTCCAATGGCGAAGTCGGAGGCGTCAGTGGTGACATAGAAATGGCGAGTGGGGTCGACGATCTTGAGGACAGGGGCCGTGGTGATGGTTTGCTTGAGTAAGTCGAAAGCGTGTTGGCGGTGATCGTTCCAATGGAAGGGCTCGTCATTGCGGGTGAGTTCGTGGAGACGGTAAGAGATCTCGGAAAAGTTGCGAATGAACGGGCGGTAATAGTTGGCATGGTCGAGGAAGGAACGGAGTTGGAGGAGGGTCTGGGGCGGGGGGTACTCGACGAGGGTTGTGACCTTCGAGGGGTCCATATGGATGCCTTCAACGGAGACAATGTGGCCGAGGTATTCGACGCTCGAAGCGGCAAACGTGCATTTGTTGAGCTTGGCGCATAATTTTTGCTCTCGGAGGACCGAGAGGACTTGGCGGAGGTGCTGAAGGTGAGACTCGAAGGTGGGGCTGAAGATAAGGATGTCATGTCATCAAGGTAGACGACGACGCAGATTTCGAGGAGGTTGCGGAAGATGTGGTTCATGGTAGATTGGACGGTGGTGGGGGCATTGGTGAGTCTGAATGGCATCACGGGGAACTCGTAGTGCCCGAGCCACGAGCGGAAGGCGGTCTTGTGGGTGTCCTCCTCGCGGATACGGATCTGGTGGAAGCCACTGCGAAGGTCGATCTTGGTAAAGTACTTGGCTCCACAGAGACGATCAAGGAGCTCGAAAATCCGAGGTAGGGCTTTTGATCGTGATCTGGTTTGAGGCGCGGTAGTCTGTGCACATGCGGAGTTCCGAAGTTCCACCTTTCTTGACGAAAAGGCAACGGGTTCCGAAGGGGGATGAACTTGGCTTAATGAACCCTTTTTCAAGGAGTTCACTGAGTTGCCGCTTCATTTCTTTGGCTTTGGGGACAGAGAGTTGGTATGGAGGGCGGCAAGGTGGAGAATGTCCGGGCTCCAAATCGATGGTATGGGATACGCCACGATCCGGAGGTAGTCCGGCGAGTAAGGACTCAGGAAAGACGTCCTTGAACTCGTCAAGGATTGAGGTGATGGCGGGGTCGGAGGGGGGGGCTTGATAGGGTTTGTCCGTCGGGATTAAGTCCTCGAGACTTTCGCGATCAAGGACAAGACAATAGTAGGCGGAGTCGGGGTTCAAACGAGCCATATGGAGGAATCTGTATCGGGGGGGTTGGTGAGGCGAAGGAAGTTGGGGTGGAATGCGTATGGCATGTAGCGGTCCAGCCACGAGGTTCCTAAGACGATGTCGCACATCAAGTGCATGACATCGAACGAGACCTGAGTGCGGAGGGTTCCGACGGTCATGGTGGTCTCGGGAACCGTGCGGTCTACTACGACGGCGGTGTCTTTGTCCTCTAGGCGAATCGTAATCGGGGAGTCATAGCCGGTAGAGGTAAGACCGGCTTTGCGGACACACGCGTCGGTGATGAAGTTACCGGTGGCTCCAATATTGAGAAGGCCCCGGAACTTAGTTGTAGACGCACCAAGGGTGGCGGCGATGAATTTGAGGTGGAAACGAGATGAGTTGGCGGTGGAGATGATGGTGTTGAGGCGGCGTTGTCCGTTGCCTAAGCGGACAAGCCGATCGTGTTGAGCTTGTTCCTCAACAACATCAGAGAAGGTGACAGTGGATGGGTTTGGAAGAAGGGTAGAGGTGCATGGGGCAGTGGGAGGCGTTTGCGATGCCTGGGAGTCGTCCGGTGGAGGGGGCGTCACTGGAGAGGGGGGAGGCAGACAAATTGTCGATGCCGGATCGATGTCCTGGGGACTGTGTTCATGATGAGGAGGGACCCGCGCTTGCCGAGGGCGGTGATGCGGAGGTTGCTGGTCGAGTGGAGGCGGATTGGGGGGTGAATTGTGAGGCGTTGGGGCAGTTGGTTTGTTGGTGCCCCAATTGGCAATAACGGAAGCAACCCCCGTTTGCTTGGAGGTATGTGTGCTCCTCGGAGGTGAGTTTCTTGAGGTGGGAGGGTGGGGTAGATGAGGGTGGTGGGGAGCTGCGATCTTTGCACTCCATCCTCATGAATTGGACGACATTGAGTTGGTCAGAAGTGAGGGATGAAGAGTCGAGTGAGTCGGAAGATGCGTCGGGGTCAGGTGTGGTGAACTCGTCCGAGGAAGTGGTGGAGGTGGTGTTTTCAGGGGTGATGTGGTGGAAAAAGCGGGTGCGGGACGAGGCGGGCGTGGGCTGGTGGTGGGGGTGGAGGAGTCGATCGTGGTGAAGCATGCGAGAGGGAGGTCAGCAAGGGGCATGTCGGGTTCGTGGGCGAGGGCGGTTGCAAGGTCTTTGTGGCATACTCGTTTGATGCGGGAGATGAACGCAAAGTCAGGAATGACGGTGGTGGGGAGGTGGTGGCAGAGGGACCGGACGTATTGGACGAAACGGTCCCTGGGACCGGTCAGGCGGAGGTGGCAGAATTGTTCAAGGTAGTCATCAATGGTTTTCTGGGGGCGGAAGGTGGCTGTGAGAAGGTTGGCCCATTGGAGGAAGGAGTGACGTGGTCCTCCGGAGGCTCGGCGGTTGCTGACTTCAGCCATCCACCATTTGGCGGCATTGTCGAGGAGGCGGGAGGTGGCAATGGGGAGCCAGTGGGCAAGGGGCATGTGGTGGAGGTGAAGAGAGTTTTGGAGTTGGGTTAGGAAGAGGAAAACGTCCTCGTGGGGGAGGTCGGAGAAGGACATGATGTCGATGGATCGGAAGGAACGGGGGATTTCCCCGTCGCGGGGAACAATCCTAGCGAGGGTGTTGAAGCTGAGGTTATCGGGGGTGGTGTTGTAGCAGGTGTAGTCGAGTTGGTTGTTGTCCTCAAGGAGGTAGTTGGGGGGGAGTTGTAGCATTGCGGGGTAAACCCCGGAGGTGACTTGGGAATAGGTGGGACAGTTGGTGGGGATGGTGGACGTCGTCATGATGGGTTGGGGAAGGGTATGAGAGTGCGGGGGGAGAAAAGGGGTGAAGTGGATGGGTGAGGAATGAGGCGGTGTGTTGGATGCGCCGGATGAGGGAGGAGGTGGGGGAAACGAAACGGTGTGGATGATGAGAGGGGGGGAAGGGTTGAAGAGGAAGTGTTGGTGGATGTGGTGGTAGAGGTGGTAGGAGTGGAGGAGGTCGGCCGGGGGGTGTTGCTGGAGGCGGCTGTGGAGGAGGGAGTGGTTTGCGTTGTGGAGGAGGGAGGTGCGGCCGTGGTGACGACCGTGATGGAAGGGTAGTTCCCTTCGAGAGTGGTGACGCGGTCGGATATGGACGACATGGTGGCCTTTATGTCATCGAGAGAGGCAGTGACGGAGGTTTGGAAGGTGTTGAGTGCGTGGAGGATGGCAGAGAGGTCGGGGGTGGCGGTGTTTGCTGGTGGTTGTTCGCCTGCGAGGTTGTCGGCGATGCTATCGATCGAGTCGGTGCGGATATCAGACATGTTGATGGAGGATGAGGCCATGTCGGGGGAAGAGGGGGTGGAGGACGCGGCCGGAACGGATGTGGAGGATGCAGCAGCAGCGGTGGCGGCGGCAGCAGCGGCAGCGTTGGGAGTTCTTGGTTTGGTGTGGCGGCATGTGGAGGGGGGGGGGCAATCCCTTATTTATCAATAAATTCAAAAATAAAGATAATTGCCAAGATTTTTTTTTTGGGGGGGGGCGGGGGGGAAAGTAGGGAATTACTATCGAACAAATTTATTCCTGATTGGAATTTTATTTATTCGAAATTAATTTGGGTAGAACAAAATTTTGAAGGATCCGAAGGAGAGATTTACAAAATTCGTTGTTCAAAATATTGGAAGAAAATAAGTATGAATTTATTTCAAAATTTAGTTACATGAAATTTCGGAATATTTTTCAAATTATAGAGAATTAGGAGGGGGAATTCTAAAATTTTTCGTTGAAATTTGGGAAAAAATAATAATTAATTCTGAAGGAAGAGATTAATTCCGAACATGAATTTAAAGAAATGTCGGCAAAGAAAAGATATTTTGAAATAATTTTGTAAAAATAAGAAATGAATTTCAAAGTTCAAAATGTGAATTCAAAATTTCGAAAAAGGGCTAATTATGAATTGCAAAAGATTTCCAAGGAATTTGGAAAGAAATTAAGGGTATTCCGAAAAAAGAGATGAATTAATTTTGAAGTATTCAAGAAATTTTGAAAAAGAAAAAGAAATTTCGAAGAAAAATAATTAATTAATTTCAAAATATTTCAAAGAAATTTCGAAAAGAACTAACGAGTTCAAAAGTATTTTTAAATTCAAAATTTATGTAGTAACCCTGTTCAGAAGTAGCCTGGGGCCCAGAACTCAGCCCCAGGCAACGCAGACCTGAATTGGTATGCGCTGGGCTTTGTGACCAAGACACGCCCAGGCCTGAGTCTGTCGCGTATGGCTGTGTGACCGAACGCTGCACACAGGAAATTCAAGGGTCAAAGTCAACTGTAGAGTCAAAGGTACCGTACCCAGGCCCTTGGTTGGATACACTCGCTTGTTGTGCGCAGGTACCCAAACAACATCCAGGCCGGAGGGAATTCGGTTTCAGACCAATCTGGGTCCTCATTTGCATTGAGATCTAGACGGTTGAGGGATGCAGCATCTGGGGTCCAGATCCGGCGTCAACGCTACATAAGCACTGACTTCCTGGCTTTGACATTCATTCTGTCTTACGTCGATGCTGTCTTCACACGTTGACGACGACTCTGGCTCGACGCTGCGAAGCTGGCTGAGCGCTGGCTCTACGCTCGCATTGTGTCTACGGCGACGCTCTGCTGGTCCGACATGGTGGCTGGCTTGCACCTGTCTTCTTGGCATGCTGACATGGCAGCTGCCATGCGCTGTCGCTGACGTGGCTGCTGCCACGTGTACTACTGGTTGACGAGGCGAAGCTATGTGATTTGTGTTGCTGTTCTAATTATCGCCATTCAGGAGGAGATCAAGACTGTGGAGAAATCGTGAATACTTACCTGGTTGTCTTCATGTTGACATTGCTCCAGCATTGATGAGGGACTGATTAGACGTGCCACGTGGCACATTGAGGTTACTTCAGATACTCGTTCAGACTATTGATTATTGAAGTGGTGATCGAGGAGGGAGCCCGAAGCAGGATTGGGCCTTGTATTTATTTCCTCTTCTTTGTCTAATCTCCCTCCTCTCTCCTTCGTCTGTGTATGATTATCTCATCTCATTCTGTCTGGACACAATTTTGACTATTGGTAATCATCAGCTGGTTGACATTCATCTGGGCTTGCATTGTTGACGATTGTCTTCACGATCTGGGTTCATTGCAATTTGGTATCGGAGCCTACTCCTGATGATGATGCGCAACAGGTAAGTGACACGCGCATGTATGATGTGATGACTACGAGATCTGACGTGGACAACAACGACGATCGCTGGTGAGGCTGACGTGGAATACTGACGTGGAACAGATTTGCTGGCCAGAAGACCCGATCCCGAAGAGCGTGATGATGTGGCAGTCGGGATCCCGACCTGGAGTGACCGTGGACCAGCCAGGATCGTGATATGAAGGTCGCGATCCCCTGCTGACATGGCATACTTTGTGCCACGTCCAGGGACTTTGTCACTGCAGATTGCTGACGTGGCAATCTCATGCGCGACTTGGTCCCAATGGGGTGCTGACGTGGCCTTGGACGACGAGGCTGACTGCTGACGTGGCAGGGAAGGTTCATCACACCAGTCTCCTTGACGTGGTGATCACCTGCTGACGTGGCATTGGCTCCATTGGCTGATGCGGCATTGTCTCAATTGGCTGGTACGGCGACGGTATCACAAAAAGACACGTGGAAGTGGCACGTGCGAAGGACAGAGGACACATTTGCTGACATGGCATCCCCACCGCTGGTTGATTGGATACTGATGTGCTGACGTGGCAGGATCTGTTGTGTTGGCACTCCAGGGATGACACGTGGCAGGCAAGTGTCTGCCAATTAAGAGGAGCACTTCGAAGACGACGGTGGTACGGCTGATTGAAAGACCGACGAGACAGCTGTAGTGCCAACTGTCACGAGGGGTGCAACATCGCATTGACACTAGGACGACAGAGAGGGAAAGAAGAAGAAGGATTGCTGACAAACTGTTTGCTGTTGATGTTGGCATACTTACCTTATCGTTTGCTGTGTTGTGGTGTTGAGCGTACTTACTTGTGTGTTGTATCTGATCACACGGGTCTGACATGGTACCTGTACACTCTTGATTAGGACGTCATCACACAGACAGACAAAAAACAGCAATAGTTAGGAATATAATTTTTTCTCTTCGGTTGTTAGAAATCTTGCTGTTGTAGATCAGTGCGGCCGTGGAATTTATTATTGTTTATTAATTATGTATTGTGCGGCAGACGCACGTCACGATGTCTTTTCTCTGGAATTCTCTGAAATTGTCAGTGCTTACTCGTTATATTCCCTTTCTTTTTTATCTAGTCTCACTCATGTTTGTTGTTGATGAGGAGACTCCCGACCCCCGAACTAAGCAGCAAGTGAAAGAGTGGAAACAAGTTTTGATTGCCCATTTGGACAAACTGATTTATGAACTTCATGATGTCGCTGAAGAGGCTGAGGCTCACATCCGGAGCCTGTTTGATTTAAAAGCATTACATAATGCTATTGAATTGGCTGAGACAGGCACCAGCGTCATTCAGGTTCAGGATATACTAATCAAGTGTCGTCAGGCACTCGATAAGTATATCATGGATCAGCTCTCCAAGATTGCTGATGGGAAAGAAGAAGGAGAAGGGGTTGTGTCTGAAGAAATCGTGGACGAAAATATCAAACAACTTGAAGAAGCACTAGAGAGAGAGAAGAAGAGGAAAGAGGAATTGAGAAGACAAAAAGAGCAGAATGTACAGCAAGAACAGAAAATATAAGAAATCAGACAAACTGTTATTGTAACTGAAGGGGAAGGACAGGCTGTTTCTTTGGCTCAACTTGTGACTTACCTTGCTCATCTCAAGATGAAGATTGATCAGTATGGGGTTCGGATTGATGAGGTGACCGCGGGACTGCAAACACTTACTAATCTGGTCAAAGGAAAGAATCAGGTGATTGAAGAAGTCAAAGTAGAGAAGGAAGAAAAACAAAGAAACTAATGGGAGATGCCATCAAGTCTCTTAAGGTAGAGACTGGGAAACCGAAAGGGAAGAAAGGGGAGCCTTCGAGTCCGCCGAAGTCTTCCGGAGGAAGCAAAGTCACCACCCCACAACTTGAGAAACCAAAGAAGAAGGAGAAGGTAAATGAAATTGCCTTTCACGTTCTGCAACAAGAAAGATGAAAATTTATTGTTGTGGATTGCTGAGATACAGACGTATTGTAGTACAGCCCCTGTTGAACCCGAATCCCAGGTTGCTTTCTCTACCTCTTGTCTCGGGGGGGAAGCGAAGGAATGGGTTATGATTGAAGCCAACGCAGCGGGGTTCGATGACATTGGGGAGTGGGATGGAACATTGAACCTTAAGCAGTTCCTTGGCAAGATCAAGGAACGCTTCTTGGACAAAACGACGGCCGAGAAGGCCTTTGACCAGCTCACCACAATTGGTCAGAAACATTGGACCTCTGTGAAATCACTGTCAAGGGAAGTTGATCGGTTGTTGTAGGTTCCTGGACTAAACCTGCAAGACAACCAAGTCTTGTATATCTATTCCCGCGCTCTGCCCGAGCCCATTCGTGGACAACTCGTGGAAGAATCGAAATTTGGTAAGTACAATTATAGGTAGTTTCGGGATCTTGCTCTCCAACGAGAACAAATGACTTATCAGGTAAAGAATTCGTATGCGTCTGTTGTGAAGTATGGTGGTGGTGCAGGTACAGGTAAGCGGATACTTTGGCGCCAAAAGCGCCAGGACCACACCCTCGTCGTCTTTGACGACGTACTGTGGAAAGTGGCCATTGGAGGCCGAGGGTGTGGCAAGCCGCATTGATTCCGGGAAGGGGGAAGTCACTGCTACCGTGGTCAACAAGGGAGGACCACGATCGCCAGTAAAGAAGAAGAAGCCACGCTCATTTCCAGAGCATCTCGGGATTGCGGCCGGGAGGCCATGGGAAAAGATGGGCCTGCCACAAGAAACGTGGCAGGAAAGAATGGATAATGCACAGTGTCTGAAGTGTGGTACCGCAGGGCATGTGATTGCATGGTGCCCACTTATCCGTAATCCAAAAGTGAGCCGCTAGTAGGAGTAGCATCTGCCCCTACTAAGTCTAAGGGTTTGGAACAAGATGAAGGTAAGGCACCTACTAACCCTTCTAACCCTTTGGCTCGCATGACAGAGGATGGTTCTTCTTCGGCTCATCGTCCGGAACACCCTGCACCTGTCTTATGTACTGTCTCTCTGGACGACTCTCTTGACAAGCTTAGTAACGAGTTGCTAGCATTACGAAGCTCATGGGCTAAGAAATCGAAGTCTAAGGGTGACCTACTACTCGCGGACGTAGAGATTGCACGTACACGCGTAGGTGCACTGTTGGGCTCAGGATCCATGCGATCCTACATATCCGATAAAGCAATCTGCAAGTTGCATCTCAGAATGAAGGTAAAGAATCTGTCTCGACCAATCACGTTGATCATAACTGATAAAAGCACGATCACTGTCTCGCAATATGTTGATCGTGTGAAGTATCGATTCTAT